ACTGACACTCCGAAAGATGAACCTGCCAAAAGCTTGGTAGTAATGAAAGCAGTAGAAAAATTGAGAAAAACAGGAGTGAAACTCTTATGGTCCAATCTACCTTTCCTGATGGTCAGGACTGGAAGAAGTGAATAAAACTCCGTTAACAACTAAAGAGACCGATATTCAGAAGGATTTCTTTTCAGACAGATTCAGTACAAAAGACTTATTTCGGAGTAAATCCGCTTTCGAAAGGTAAGGAGCGACGTTTGCAGCTTTTTTTTTGATTGATTCAGAGAGGTAGCTAAAGGGGTCGTTATGGTAATGGTTCCGAAATTTCTGCAGCTATTACAATGGATAGCGACACTTTTGCTAAAAACAGGTCTCCTAAATTGGTTTACCGTATAATCGGGAAAATCAATGCAGAAACATTCCCCAGGAAACTAGATTTTGAAATGCGGAAATGCCATGAAGGTGTCCTAACGATTACACTCACCTTCTGCTGCCATTTTCTCTTCAAGCTTTTTAGCCCGAGAATCCCGTTCAACCGCCTGAGTGACTGTTTGAGCATAAAAGGACTCGATGGCTAGCCTTGTTCGGCTGGCCTTATCCCTCATAAATTGCGAGATCACAGGCTTCTCTGTCATCCCTGAAAAAGCAACAACATCCCGAAAACAATCCCTACGGTTTGACTATGCAAGCAAGAAATCAAGTGGAAGGAGGAAAACCCGATTGATACTGGTAAAAGAACCACTTTGAAGCAGTAATACAGAAAAACCAACATGTTAAATTTACAAAATAAGCAGTACAACAGCGAACTTCATGAATAAACCACAACAGCTCAGCTGTTAGGGTGACGGCGCGCATTGGAGCGAGCGGCCGCTGACCGATTGCGATCGGAGCGCGCTAACCGTCGGCACGCGAATGTGCATGTACCCGATGCCCCGACTGTTTCAGTAGTGCTACAGAGATTTTCGATGACCTTTCTTTTTTGACCCTAACTGGGAGGGGAAACCAATTATTGTATCGAACCCCTTTAGGGGGGTTCACAAAAGGCATAGCGGTGTACATATCCGTTACGCGCTCCGATTGTTGTCTTGATGGGCGGAGGGGTGTGTTGTCGGTGCCCTTGACTGAGTCATGCATGATAGGAGATCGTGGGAAACGCTACACACATTCCCGTCGCAGGTTGTACTCTATGTGATTGAATACGGTGCGGAGGGTTTCAGCCGCGACCGCTAGAGTGATCAAGTGCTGATTATTCGGTGCCTCACTTCGGCGTAGACGACATATTCCGGCTTCGCTGACAAGTAACGCCCCCCCCCCCCCCCCCCCCCCCCCCCCCCCCCCC